CTTTCCCTGAGCCTGAGGTTGAGGGAGGGGAAATAGGGCAAGGGTCCCCGCGACAGGATTCCATGACACGGACCAGGGGTGGGACCCTTTAAAGGGAGACGCGGAGACTGCCAGGGACGATGGTTCCGCGACGGGGCTCCCGAATGATGCTGCAGAATCCGCCACGGCCCCTGGGCGCAGGGGGCGCGGGCAGGTGGCGCGGCGCGTCCCACCTGGGAAGCCGCCGCGGCCGCCCCAGCGGGGGGACAGTGAGGGCCTAGACGACGGAGGGCACTGTCCGCGCTGCTCACCCGGGCTCTGGCACCTACCGCCCGCCGGCGGCGCCTGGGTCCAGGCTCCTCCTGCCGCTGGGCACGGGGCTCGGAGAGCGCGAGCGAAGGAGCGAGCGAGGCTCCTGCTCCAGCCCAATTCCGGGAGCCGCCGCCGCCGCCGCCGCCTCTGCTACTGCTGGTGAAGTGACGTGAGGGCTGACGCAGAGCAGGGGCAGAAACTCCAGAAAATTAGTCTGAAATCCAAAAACACACACGCTCATACACACACAAACCCATAACACCCTCCAGACAAAAGCAACAGGGAGAGGAGGGGAATCTGGGGGCGAGCAGAGAGGAGGGAGGCATCGGTGCCACTGGCCAGAAGCAGACAGCAGCAGCATGTGGGAGTTCACACGCGCGCACACCCGCACACAGCCCGGCCGTATAGACGCGCGCGCCTGTGTGTGCTTGTGTGTGCGTGCATTTAGATCCAGGATGAACCGTTGCTCCGCTCTGACGCCTCCCAGTCCCTAATTCACACCACGGTCTCTTCTAATAACGCAGTAGAGGCCGTCTCCTTTTTTGAAATGGAAACCGGTCTCGGTTCAGCTCTGAAAAATGCGCTGATTCTTATTATAGGAATCCTCCCTCCCTTCTCCCTCCCGGCTGCATTCTCCTTTCCCATCTTGCCTAAAAGGGAGGACGAGCTATCCTAAAAATAAATAAATATTGTAAACACCAAAACGTGTCCAGCATTGGTAACCAAGGATAACCGCCCCCATTCCGGGCCATCTATTTGGGGATTGGTGTTTTTGGAGGGTCTTCCCGTTTGTGCTTTGGCAGAGGAAGGGGAGTCTCCAAACGCAACTCTAGCTCTCTAAGTGGGTCTTTTTCCTGCTGTTTTCTGGCATCACACGCCCGGAAAACAGAGACATGTGGGGGAAAGGGAGCGCGCCTGACGCGTATTGGGTTCCCTAAATGCGCGGCAGCAACCCTGGCCTGTCCGATGTGTGGCGCCGCGTCATTTTTTCTCATCCTTCAACCTGGCAGGATGAAGCCATTCCCAGATCTTAGCTTCATTCCCCTCGATGCCCACCCCCACACGGGGCACCCAGAGCCCTTGCTCCCCTGCCGTACCTTGCGCCTTTTCGTGTGTGCGCGGGTGTGCGCGAACGCGTGCCCTGCGCCCGCGCTGCCCGGAGCACGTCACACATCCAGCTACTGAGAAGCCCGGCGCGGGCAGAGCCTCGGGATCTCACTAGGGACAAATGAGGCGATCCGGGAGGGTCGGGTGACAAACCGTAACTGCTCTGCGGGTGCAGTTAAATGATGGCTGCGGGGCATTCGCAAGCCTTGTCTGAGAATCCGTCTTCCCATTTGCGGCTCGGAGAGTCTGTTTTTCCGCAGTCATTTAAAAGGGAACTGGGAAAATGCACCGCAGTGCCTCACACTTCCGAAGGCTCTGGTGCCCCCGCGCGGGAAGAGAGCGCCCGGCACGCTTGGGAGCACCAACCCACTGCCGCGGCCGCGCCGGGCACTGCGCGGGGGGCGCGCTCTGGCTCCAGATGCGCAACCGGCGGCGCCCGACGCGTGCGCGCCCCTGCCTGACTCGAGCTCGGCTATCCAGTCCTCGCCCAGCTTCCGCCCCGGGAAAAGGCGGGCTGCTCTCCGCGCGAAAAAGGGCGACGGGATGGGATCTCATCCAAAAGATAAGAATGGTCACCAATCTGTCCGAAGACGCTTGGGGTGGGAAGGATCGAGAACCCCGAACGTCAAAGTGAACGCTCAGATCTCGGCAACGCCTTAAATATTACAAGGGAACTGAGAGCATTTAATGGGGCTTTTCGTACATACCCTGGGCGCTGAGTGTAAGCGGGAATCCTTGCGCAGCATCCAAAAATCTCGTTTTAGGGCGGGAGGACAAGGCCAGTAGGCCTTCCTCTCTCCATCATCACTCGGCTGTGACACGCATTGGATGCTGAATGGCCAGGCTGAAGTTCATTTCTATGCTCGGCCCCTGCTGGGTGAGGATGTGCCAAAGTAGGGAAGCCAAGGGCAAAAATGTCTTGGTCCAGGCCATACAATAACACTCCTCCTCCTGCCTTGCCGGTGTCCTTAATGGAGCTGCCCCTGCGGAACACCTGCGAGAAGAGTGTATACAGAAATACCCACCTCTCTCTCACACCTCCACTCTCATCCCATTTTTCCCAGAAATGGCCCATTTGCACCCTAGTGGCTGCAAACTGTCAGTGCAACATCCAAAGGACAGTTTTAGAGTGGTGTGCAGACCAGAAGATTCTAATTATGTTGGGATATTTTTAGAATTTGTATTATAATAGATATATAATACTATTACATTTAGATTCTAAATATGCCCCCACTGAATTTCTCTCACTGAAAATTAAAACTGGCGGCCTCACTTCTAACCACCCTTCCCTTCCTGCCCTGTTTCTTCTATAGTACTTACCATCTTTTAACAGATCATTTACTTATTATATTTACTATTTATTGTATCTCTCCCAGTAGAATGTAAACTGCATGAAAGCAAGGATCTTTATTTTTTCATTAACACATCTCAAGGATGTAGTGGGTATTAAAATACATGTGTGTGTGTTTAAAGAAATAAACTGAAGTTGAGATTCCTCAAATAGGCCATCCACATTCTCACTTTCTTTGTTTTTCTTTTCTTGTCTTTTCTTTTTTTAAAAATATTTATTTGTTTATTTGTCTGCGTCGGGTCTTAGTTGGCACCGGCCAGATCTTCATTGCTGCATGCAATGAAGCAAGCTCTTCCTTGCAGCTCGCTGGGCTGCTCTCTGGTTGTGGCACGTGGGCTTAGTTGCCCCAGGACATGTGGGATCTTAGTTCCCTGACCAGGGATGGAGCCCACGTCAGGGAACTAAGAAGGCAGATTCTTTTTTTTTTTTTTTTTTTTTTTTAACATCTTTATTGGGGTATAATTGCTTTACAATGGTGTGTTAGTTTCTGCTTTATAACAGAGTGAGTCAGTTATACATATATATATGTTCCCATATCTCTTCTTAACCACTGGACCACCAGGGAAGTCCCCACATTCTCACTTTCTTAACCTCTAACCCTGCAAGTCTATCTGAATGATCGTCCCTGGACACCTTCCTTCCTGTCTCCACAATCTTCCCTGTGCTGTGAAAACTCACAGCATTTCTTGAAGCCTGACTTTTCTGCCTTCTCTAGTGGCCAGGTATGTTCTGGCACTAGGTCAGGGAAGGCTTCCCTCTGGTTCAGGCTGGTACCTCAACATTTCCATGCACAGTGCCTGAAACACACTGGGCAATCAGTAACTGTTTCTCAACCCATAGAATTATGAATCTATCTCAGTTTAAGACCTACAAGGTATTTCACAGAGATATCGTGGATTCTCAGACCATGGCTTTGTAGGTGATAGTAAACATTTTTCAGGTGGACAAAATAAAACAGAGATAATTTTCCCTAGATCATATGAACTCTTCAAGGCAGAGATGGAGACTAAGTATTGCAGACTCTTGCCTGTACTGGACCATGATGTACCTAGAACAATGTTTCTCAAACTATTTTCACCATGGCCTACAGAAAGAAATGCCTTTTATATAACAATCCAAGGCACACATACACATATGCATATAACTAAAAAACCGTTTCACTAAACAAAACTTACTTTCTCTTAATGCATAGAATACAATGATATTTTGTTTTCTATTTTATACGATTTCATTTTCTAGTGCTTGTAATAACACAATAAATTGATTTTAACATTCAATACTGGGTTATTAAAACAGAAACAGAAATACTGCCAGTTTCTGCTTCTGACTAAGATGGAGTTATAGGGAACATTTAACCTCCCAGTCAAACCAACAACACACTGAACAAAACACCTGAAACAACAATTTTCAGGACAGTGGACACAAGACAATGAAGGCTGTGGCTCAGGGTGAGGGAACCCAGGCACAGTCCAACTCCCTGAGTTAACAACATATAGCTGAGAGTCCAGGGAAATCAAGGAGGGCAGAGTTCACAAGGACAGAGTAGCAGGGAAGAGAGTGATGTAGTGAGAGAGCACCCCAGAGGTCTGCAGAGAGTCCCTCTTAAATATTCAGCAAAGTACTGATTAGCACATGCAGGTAATGAAACTACCTGAGGGCAGGGAAAGAAAAGATAAAAGGGAACAGGGTCAAAGAAACATTCAGAAGGGAAATTGAAAATACCACATATCACAATTTATGCTCAATAAAGCTGGAAAAAAAGGCAGAAGTTAAACCAATTTTTTAGAAAATGAATTTGCGGGATGCCACTAAAGCATCTTCAGGTATTTAGGAGGAACTCTATAGCACTAAATACCTGAAAAGAAGAAAGGTTTCTAACCAATGACCTCAATTTCCACCTTAAGAAACCAGAAAAAGGAGAACAAATGAAACACAAAGTAAACAGGAGAGAGGAATGGAAAACAATGCAATAAAACAAAAATCAGAAAAACAAGAGAGAAAATCTACGAAAACCAAAAGCTGATTCTTTGAGAAGATGAGTAAAATTGATAAAGCTCTAGCCAGACTGACCAGGAATGAAAGAGAGAAGACACAAATTATCAATAACAGGAATGAAAGAAATGACAACACTGGAGAGTCTATGGATATTAAAGGAATAATAAGAAAATATTGTGAACAACGCTATGCAGATAAAGCTGGCAATTTAAATGAACTGAGAGATAAAAGCTAACAAAGCTCACTATAGAAGCAATAGGTTACCTGAATAGTCCTGTATCTATTTCAGAAGTTAAATTTATAATTTAAAATCTTCCTATAAGAAAACTCCAGGCCCAAATGGCTTCACTGGTGAATTCCACAAAGTAATTAAGGAAAAATAAGACCAGAAAATGAATAGTACCAAAATACACCAGGAAAATGAAGAGGAAGGAACACTTTCCAACTCATTCCGTGAGCCCAGCATTGCCTTGATACCAAAATCAGACAAAGACATTACAGGAAAAGAAAACAACAAAGCAATATCCCTCATGAATATAACTACTAAAATTCTAAACAAAATTTCATCAAACTGAATCCAACAAAACACCATATATCCAAAAACATCATGATCAAGCAAATGAATTTTAGCTTAATATTTAAAAATCAATCAATGAAATTTACCATATTTGCAGACTAAAGAGCTAAAATTATATCACCATTTCAAAAGACACAGAAA